ACCCACCCTACCACCAACCCCCCCCCCCCCCCCCCTACCCCCCCCCAAAAAAAACCAAAGCAAAAAAGAAGAAGAGAAAAGAAAAAACCACACGAAAAGAAAGAAAACATAAATTAAAAGAAAAACCCCACATTTCTCATGGGAAAGCACAGTGTTAAGAAAAAGTGCTATGAGGGATCAATGGTTCCCTTTCCTAATGAAAAAAATAGCAATTCATATATTTTCATTGAGACAGAGTGCCCATATCATATCATTGATATATATATGAGTATCTTTGTTTTTTTTTTTTTTTTTTTCCTTTTAGCATGTTGATATGATAATATCATACTGTAACAGGAGAGATTTTCCTTCTAACATGCCAAAAACACATTCTGTAGTATCAGAGTGTGATAAAAATCCAAAAACAGAGAGGGTGAAACTGCTCAGAAGCAGATTGTATTTCTTTTCTAGTGGATAAAAATTATGAGATGGAGAAGCAACCTTTTGTAGGTTAAGTCTAGCCTTACATATGGCCATGAAGACCATGATAATGTATGCAGCAGTTACTGTGTAACATAGATAATGGAAAAGATTTTGCATTGTCCACAATCTCTGAAAACACAAACTTCTGAAATTATGGATCTATTTAAACACCACCATTTACTTCTTAACCATAGGAAAAATATACCTTGTTGTCTGCAAGAGCTTCCTCTATAATGGAAATTGATTCTCGCAGATCATATGATTCCAACTTGACCACTGAATTGCTGGAGCTATCAGACCTCTCTCTCCATATTTGTAAAAGCGGAGGGGTTGACCAATCAAAATCAGGGCAGCCCATCAACTCATATATTGAAGGGCATTCAATAAGCTGAAACAATAATATTTTAAACGAGATGCATCAAATACAGTACCATGAACAACATTCATCATGTGATCATTCTATAAAATAAATCACGTGCAGTACAATTTTAATTCAAGCACCAAATTTCATTGTCATAAAATTGTTTTCTTGAAGTAGATTGATCTTAGCAATGTAAAGCTTACTTAACAAGGAAAAGGCATTAGCAGACAGAACAGTCAAAGCACTCACAAGCCAAGCTCGAATCTAAAGTGACCTTTTGATATAGAACTAGATTGCATGAAAGGGATCATGTGAAAGATTATGAAGTCATTTTTTGTACGAATCTAGCATCCGATTACAAATGGCTAGAAGAATCAATTTTGAAAACTGCTGCTCAACATGGTGGCATGCCTCAGCAGGCCAGCACCAACAGCGTGATATTTTAACTTCTAATTTATACATCATCTTGAAAGAATCAAAGGAGCTATGGCTACCAATGCCACTAAACATTTTCAGCTAATGTATTCACAATGTCAACATATGGTTAACGAAAAATTCAGTATTGCATTTCTATGAATAAGAATTTCACTAAATTACTCAATTTGGCAAGATGCATTAAGCAGATATAACTTCTATAAAGAAGTAATGAGTATGGAATCCCACCAGCTGATGCATACTCCATTTTGAAATGAAAAGACTTTGCTCCCAACCTTCAACAAAAGATATTCCATTCAAGAGAGTATCTGTAATATATCCCGGGGCACCTACAAAGGACAATTAGAAATAGTCAAATCTAAATGCTTAAAAAGGTCAAAGAGCAGTCTCAAATTACGCATATCACAAGAAAACAAGTTTAAAAAACACAATACTAATAATACAATCGAGATCAAGTAAAGATGTCAAAGAGCATTCTCAAATTACACATATCACAAGAAAAAAAGTTTAAAAAATACAATACTAATAATACAATCGAGATCAAGTGATTCAATTTCTGCAACATAAAGAACTAATTCAAGTTGTCAAAACCAAATAACCAGTGTGAAGAACTCCCCAATAGATGCGTCATGTGCATCGAAGCCGAAGAATCCAACGCACACCTTCTTCTCCACTGTGACCTGGCCAGAGCCTTAAGGACTGATCTACTTCAACTTTTCCAGTAGTCGTGGGTCACTCCCTGTTCAATTCCACACCTGTTCAAGGCCTTCCTTTCCTGTCCCTGGCCCAAGTCAGGGAGGTTATGGAGAGACTCAGTGGCTGCCACCATTTGGGTGATTTGGAGAGGGTGAGCGTTCCACTGTTGTGTCCTTTGATCGACAAAGTCAGGAACCTCATCTTATTTTGGGCAAGAAATCACAAGTTATTTAAAGACTTCTCTCTTTTCGACCAACACAGCAATTAGAATGCCATCTTGCTTTTGGCTACCCCTAGAATCTCACGGGCCTCAGTCTGGAGACCACCGGAACCAGGCTCGGCTAAGTTGAATTTCAATGGTTGCTCCCTTGGCAAACGTAGGCCCTCTGGCATAGGAGGCCTCTTTAGAACCCACAACGGTTGTACGCTGCTGTCTTCCTCCCAACCAATTGGTTTTGCAGACTCCACTCTTGCTGAGGCCCTTGCCCTCTTGGAAGGCATTCGCAAGTTTGAGCCCAATTGGAGCCCGGAACTTGTGGTGGAAGGGGACTCCAAGAACGCCATCACATGGGCCTCCAACCTCACGTCCTAACCGTGGCAGCTCGATCACATTTTTTATAAGATGTCTCACATTTGCAGGGGTCTCAGAGTCTCTTGGAATCACGTCTATAGGGAAGCCAACCCTACGGCTGACTCTTTGGCCAAGAAGGGAGCCCAATCACACCCCATTATGGGGCCTTAGGTTTTTTTTGCCCCTTTTTCTCCCTTGCTCTATCCTCTTGTACCCTTCATTAGTTGCTGCAAAACAATTTTTGGACCCTTTGGGGTTTTTGTATAGGTTGCCCTGTAACCGGGGCGCCTCATTTTTGTACATCTTTCTTTATGCAATATAAGTGAACATTCTAAAAAAAAACCAGTGTGAAGAACTACCAAGAACACACCGGCCCTGTAAATTCATGAGTTCAAATAGGCCAATATATGAAATCAAAGGACCCTGTATTTGGACATCCTTAAACTACAACATGCACCAAAACAACGTGCCTAAAAATACTGCCATGCATTCGCAGCTTTTGACCATAATCTAAGAAGCCAAATAATCGTTTAAAAGATTTTTTTTTCTTTTACTTAAAAGAGTTTATGAAATTTAAAAGTAGGAAGCATTACAAAGAAGAGAGCAACTGATATGACAGCCATCTAAGAGATTAGATCTGAGCATGCAGATGCCCAATGAACTTTTCGACAGACAGACTAATTTGGATGAAGTCTTTCGTAAAGGGTGCAGCATCTGATTGCCGGAATTCTTTCTTGCATCGTAATGATAAGAGATATCAAGTTATCAATGGAGGTCTTTGGCAAATGGCATGTCAGGGGGTTTGGCAGCTGAGGACAACAAGAAAGAATGGGCGCTAAAAGCAACCATAACCGCATGGATAGAACCTGTTATTTTCCTTAAAAACTTGCCCATACACATTGCCTAAAAGGCAAATAGTCTTAACTATTAGAATAGGCAATGTATATATGGCTACAAATTTCTGGGTAACCAATTATTCCACTGGGACTTCATAACTTTGCAAACCTAAAAAACCTGACTCTTTGGCCAAGGAGTCTCACATTTGCAGGGGTCTCAGAGTCTCTTGGAATCACGTCTATAGGGAAGCCAACCCTACGGCCGACTCTTTGGCCAAGGAGGGAGCCCAATCACACCCCATTATGGGGCCTTAGGTTTTTTTTGCCCCTTTTTCTCCCTTGCTCTATCCTCTTGTACCCTTCATTAGTTGCTGCAAAACAATTTTTGGACCCTTTGGGGTTTTGTATAGGTTGCCCTGTAACTGGGGTGCCTCATTTTTGTACATCTTTCTTTATGCAATATAAGTGAACATTCTCAAAAAAAAACCAATGTGAAGAACTACCAAGAACACACCGGCCCTGTCACTTCACGAGTTCAAATAGGCCAATATATGAAATCAAAGGACCCTGTATTTGGACATCCTTAAACTACAACATGCACCAAAACAACGTGCCTAAAAATACTGCCATGCATTTGCAGCTTTTGACCATAATCTAAGAAGCCAAATAATCGTTTAAAAGATTTTTTTTTTCTTTTACTTAAAAGAGTTTATGAAATTTAAAAGTAGGAAGCATTACAAAGAAGAGAGCAACTGATATGACAGCCATCTAAGAGATTAGATCTGAGCATGCAGATGCCCAATGAACTTTTCAACAGACAGACTAATTTGGATGAAGTCTTTCGTAAAGGGTACAGCATCTGATTGCCGGAATTCTTTCTTGCATCGTAATGATAAGAGATATCAAGTTATCAATGGAGGTCTTTGGCAAATGGCATGTCAGGGGGTTTGGCAGCTGAGGACAACAAGAAAGAATGGAACATAAAAGCAACCATAACCGCATGGATAGAACCTGTTATTTTCCTTAAAAACTTGCCCATACACATTGCCTAAAAGGCAAATAGTCTTAACTATTAGAATAGGCAATGTATATATGGCTACAATTTTCTGGGTAACCAATTATTCCACTGGGATTTCATAACTTTGCAAACCTAAAAAACCTGACTACATCGAACTAATAGCTCATAATACTTTTTTAAGGATTTTGACTCCTGTAATACAAGGGTCCGTTTAGATAACAACTAATTTTATCTGGAATAGACTTATCTCATATGAAAATTAATATACCCTAGATAATATTATTCTGTTAGCCGTTGGGTACATATATTATACTATATCTAATATTATTTAATTATTTAACTTTTTTGGTGACTTTATGCTATTTTTAGGTATTTATGGCTTAACACGTAATTTTCAGCAAATTGCTTTGAATAAAATAAAAACAGTTTTTCAAAAAGATAAACTTTTGCCTATAAGATTCTCAGATAACTATTTAATAAGCATTGCCAAACAATATACAAGTCATTACAAAGATTAATTTTATTGAAACTGTGAATTATCAGCACAATGAGTACATACAAACATGCCCTAAATGAATTGAGCTACCTTCATTCAGTAAAGTTCATTTGCTAAGACAAACTAGAAATCAACAAAATGTTCCATATACTGAAGCAAAGCAACTATATGATCAAACAAGTCTACAGAAGCATAAATATGGATTTAGCATGATTTCTCGCCATTATTTACCCTGAAATGGTGCAGCAATTGCTATCCAGTTTTTGACATACTTTTCAAAGACCTGAAACAAATAGAGCACAACTTAAAGGACAATCTCCATACAATATTTCGTAGCTCTTGAACAGACAGGCAAAGAATGTCAAAGGAAATCCACTAGCATGAAACAGAAAACCAATATTTGAAAAAAGACACAAAGAAGAAAACTAAAAAAAATACATCTTTGTGTAGACACATGAAGCATTTGACTAGCAAACCCCCCATGGAGTGACTTATAATAGTCACTTTCTTCCCTTCTGAACATTTGTAAATCGATTCCAATTTGGCAGTGAAACGATCAAATGTTTCCTGAAGCCTGCAAGAAGAACAGATAATGAGGACCACACACGCTTTCAATTCCTAATAGAAATAATATGAACAAAATAAAACATTAGGCCATCCATATAAGCTGCTCAAATATGAAACTGCAAATAAATTACATATGAAACTGCAAATAAATTACGACCATTTTTTAGTAGGTACAGTCAGTAGCATAGTTATCATGACATCAAGGACCTCTGTACTCATTGCTCAGGCAGAATCAACATTAAGCTGGTTCAAGATAAACCATCTTGCAACGCAATGAGTAGTTAAAGTTGATGGATACAGACATCTCAAGAATGTGCATGTGGTTATGGGAATGAAAGGACATCAATTGAATAACTGTCGACATGCACAGGTGATCATGAGTCGGTGGAAGAATGAGTCTAAATGAGCCTTCACCACCTACCCCGATTTCACCTATCCTCTAGACATGCAGCAGACAATTCATTTCCCACGCTAGAAAGTATCTTATTGCCAAAATCACATCAACAGAATAAGATAAAGAAACAGCCATTACTACAAAATGTCTCATTAGTACAAGTGCCTAACAGGCTAATACTTTTTTCCAGTTATCCACTTCCAAATATAGGCCCTTACACATGAAAAACAAGATCAATACTTCAATTAAAAACTTTAACCTCTTTTGAACTTTGCACACAATGCATTTTTCTCTTCTAAACTACTTGTAACATTATTTCTCTAGAGCTACTACAAGGAAGCAAGAACCTAACACTTATATAAGTGGGCATGGTTGATTAGATGTAGGGAAAGGGTAATGAGGTAATGCACCTGTTGCTCTGACGAAAATCATAGCCAAATCCAAAGAGTGTTTCGCCCTCTTGGAAACCCCAACTAATCATTTCCTCAATCATATCATGGAAATAGCAAACACTATCTTTTCCAATTATCTGTAGAAAGTAAACAAAACAGGAATTGCAAATAAATTATTGATGATGAAGCTACAGAAGGGCATGCATGGAAGTATAATGGATAGAGAACTACTAAATTGACTGCCACTATTTCTGAGACGTCATAAAAATGCTGATAAAAGCTAGCAAATGCAGTGTGTATGTAACTTCTAAATTGTTGCAAAAGCGAAGGATGAAGTGCTCAAAAGAAATTGACTTCCACGAGGAATAGAATTCCCGAAAGAAAATGTGATTGTTGTAAGGGAATAGACCTCATAGCAATTGATATCATACAGGCATGACAACCATGTCCAGAATTAAAGCTTTCACAAGAAAAAGCAATCACAGTACTATTCTTTTCTTTTTTCTCTTTCTTTTTGATGCGTTTTTCCGAAGTTTCCTAAAGAGGGTTTAAGTACATGAATAGGAGTAAAAGAAAAGTTCCTTGTTCTCATGTCAACAACACACCCACACCTCACCAACCCCCACCCACCCCTCCAAAAAAAAAACACCAAAAAAAACAAAAAACAAAGAAACAACGAAAAGGAATAGAAGGAGCAGAAAGAAAAAAAAATTAAAATAAGGGTAAGGGATACCCTCATTCTAAATCTGTAGGGAAGTCCACATCAAAGTTTGAGAGATTTGACCCACTCTAGATCTGCGAGGCAGTCCACTTCAAAAGACCATTTCACAAGACCCAAAAGTCAATGCTTCTTCTCCATTTAAACGTTTTTAGCACATTGCCTATATCAAAGAAAAAACCCTATATAGCTAACTTGAATCTCAAAAAACCTAATCACTATGAAATTCTAACCTTTCGTCTTGCCAAACATTAGCTATGACAAAATACACCAAAAATCTCTACAACAACAAAAGAAACAAACACCCCGAAAAAATTTTAAAAACCAAATAACCCAACCCAATGTCAACCTCCTAAAAAACATAATAAAGAAAGAAGAAAATCCAACCAGCATCATTCTCTCAAGGTTGGGAGAAGCTTGTACATGAGCTTAAGGAATTCAAAATTTTCCTTCCTTGTCTTCTCCACTTTGTTCTAACTAGAAATCTTCACCTTCCTTGGTAAACTTTGATCATTGAACATAATTTATAATGTTATGATATGCCAATGAAGCCATGTCATAACATCATTTAAAAATGTTATGATATGCCAAAGAAGCAAATTCTAACAACATCATTCTCCAAAGGTTGGGAGACATCATGCTCGAGCTTAAGAAATCAGAAACTTTTTCTTGTCTTCTCCACTTTGTTCCAACTAGGAATCCTTACATTTTTAATATCGAACTTTTGATCGTTGAACTTAATACAAAACATTGTGGTATGCCAATGAAGACATGCAATCCTGGGAGGTCGATACAATGCCAAAATTTGTTGTGCCATCCACAACTTTATTTCACGCCAGAGAACTACATCAACTTCAGCAGCATGCTGTGGTGTTTGATCAATGCTTGGATTAGATTTTGATTTTTTATCTTCCACCTCTTTATATTCTCATCTCTGCATGTTGCATTGATATGCTAAATAGTTCTTGTACCACTTGTTGCATCAATATGCCCAGTCTTTCTTCCAGATCTATTTGGACTTGTCTCAATTATTTGATTCATGGGCTCCAAAAATGGATCAGTGGATTTTTTTTTTTTTTCTGGAGTTATGCTCTACAATCTCAAGGCTTTGATACCAATTGATATGGGGAAGAGTGGCGAAAAATAAAACAAACCAAAATAAAATTATATAAGGTGAGATAGCTGACCCTCGCTTTGGGTCTGCACATTGTTCAAAAAGTCGGCCACAAAACTTATAGCAGCGCCCTAGGCCAACATCCTAGGCGTGCTTGCTCCTAGGCGGCCAAGACCCCAACTAGGCAGTCACCTCGACATGGGCGCCTAGGCGGTGCCTCGGTGCAACTTGGCCGAGGGCAGAAAAAGGCCCGAGGCCGAAGGCAAAAAGTAATTTTCCCCTTTGAGAAGGGGAAAAGGGTTTTGGGGGGGCAATCTAGCCCCGAAACCCTATGCTCCTAGTGCCACCCCACAAAAAAAAAGGATAAACACCCTTAAAAAATAAAAAAATAGTTCAAGCCTATAAAAATGGTTAAGGGCTCAAGGCCCTTTCTCTTGTTCAAGGCCCATGTGCTCTCTCTCTACATATAAGAAGAAGAGGAAAACTAAGATGCCCTCCAATTGTTCAATAGGAGGCATCTCTCTCGCACGCACACACACACACACACACACAAAGACAAACACACTTGCTCTATATATAGAAGAAGAAGATGGCCTCCAATTGTTTGATGTGAGACCTCTCTCTCATATACATAGGCTAATATATATATATATATAGGAAATTTATTTCATGCGGGCTGGACCGCATGACTACATATGCAATCCAAAAAGAGTAAAGCATCCATCTTAAAGATGGATGCAAGCAGGAGTTCCATCTAAAAATAATGGAAACTAACGGTCCAAATGTTTTCTTACTAGAATTATTATTTCTAGTTTTTAAAATGTATTTATTTATTCATATTCATGATCTCCATGTTAGAGACTACATATCCTTAAAATTAAGTCCAAAAATCCATCTAAAAAGTAGATTTATTAAGAGGCCCACATTTCTACATATGCAGGCTTAGTCGCATAGAAACCGGGTCCATATATATAAATATATATATATATATATATATATAGAGAGAGAGAGAGAGAGAGAGTATATAACGAGACCATTTAACTTCGATACAAAGTGGTCACAATTAATCTTGATCATTGGATGTGAAATTGGGTGGCTGCATTTATTTCATTGACCAAGGTCAAAGTTCAAAATAAATTTTCTCGAACTTTGTGACATACCAAGCTATCAGATTTCAAATCGGATGGTTGTAAGTAATTGTGACGTCCCTATACTAAAGGTAAATGGCCTCATTGTATACAATCCTATATATATATAAACAAAACAAATGCTCAACCCCCCCACCCCCAAAGGTGAAGGTCCAAAGGGGGAGTCCACCACAAATGATCTTTTCACAAGACCCAAAAATCATTTCTTCACAATAGCTAGCTTAACTCTCAAGAAACCTAATCATTATTAAACCCTAACACTTTCTTCTTGCCAAACATTAGCCATGAGAAAAATACCCTTAAAATCTCTACAACAAAAGATGTGAATGCCCTAAAAAGACTTAATAACTAAATAACTCAAACCCAATCTCAGCCTCCCACACACACACACACACACCACCCCCCCCGGCCCCGCTCTTTTCAGTCCAAAACCAAGACTGTGGTAAAATTTTCCAAGCTAGCAAACCATAGCATTGAGTCCAGCATTCTGGTGTCTTTAGTGAAGATGTCCGCATTGTTATCTTTAATATGCAGACACCAATGGCAATAAAGTATTCCTTCTCCCTGACGTGGGAACAAACTTGATATCATAAAATATTGGGTTCTTTGCAATGTGAATAGTGTGTTTCTTGTCGCAGAATACTGAAATGCGTCTGATATCCAAATATCATCCAAGATATTTCTAATCAATATCACCTCACTGGTAGTGGAGACACATCAAGGGATTTGGATTCAGTCCTAGAGAAAGCAAGATTAGTTTTCTTCTGTTATTCTAGGAAACTAGGTTAAAGCCAATAAAGATCAAATGATGAAAAGGAAGATAAGTTACGTAACAAATGACAAAAAGGAAGATAAGTATTTCTTTTCTTGGATGCAACTTGATATTATGCAGTATTCTCATGGCACTGGTATAACGGCAGTCCAACTATGATGGTTCTAAATCTTTCTTCTTCTTTTTTTTTGGACATCATTTACAGATCTAAAATCCATGTAGATAAAATAAGATCAAACCTTATTCCAAAACAGTCAAAAAATTCACTATCCTTTTCCTATTGGTCATCCAAATTCTTGAATGAAAGAATCCACGTTTCTCCTTTCAATTGACCTATTTATATTGTTTGGTAACAGGAATAGTCCCAATATCATGTAAAGTTTGTGAACATTTTCTCATTACAAACAAAAACTGAAAACAAACACCAAAGGAATCAAGCCCTTCCTCCTTCCTCAATCTATCAACTTCGACATTTGTCTCCAGCAGGAAAAAACAGAAGGACACTGCTAGTGGATCACTAAAGCTCCAAACCTACATCAAATAGGAAGCCACATGCCGAACAAAGAAGCTCTCTCCAGACACATCTGATTGTAGTGAGGGAGTCCCTTTCACTGAAGGAGGATCCTGTGTCTCAACGCATATTGAATTCCTTGGATATAGTCACATCACAAACGGCCCGAGGGCAGAGAATGACAGCAGTGTCCTCCCCATAGAATCCCATATGATGTTCCGATATCTGATGGGTATGAAGTGCCTCATGAGCACCCATTAACATCAAGTTTAAACATTCCAATAATGGGCTGTGCCATCAAATAACTGGATAGAATAGCTAGAGAGGACCACAGATTTCATCCACTCAAAAAAATGTAAGGCATTAAGTATGGGTGAACCTATGCCAGGAAATCACCTACGCACATGTGCTCACCCTTAACACCTCAAATGTTGACTTCTCCAGTACAAAAGTCCTATTAATTCTCTCTCGTTCCAATTATGCAATAAAATACCTAAGGTAAAGAGCTTCCATACCCAATCCATTCCTAGGATTAAGGTCAAACTCAACCCAGTACAGCAAATTAGGCACCACACTCAACTCTAAAAGCTACTACAATATAAGAAGGCATTGCAACAGCTACCAGCTGATTAATAAGGAAAAGATCCCTCCTTTTCCTGTACTTTCTCAATGCCAAGTATGGATATGAACGATTTGTCACCCTAAACGCTGTAAATGATCCATAATGAGGATCTCAAAGCAACCCAGCAATCCAAATGCCTGTACTCTGGGCAACGTCACCCAGACACCAAAACAGGTGTCTATTTTCAGACAAGTTTCTTAAGTGCTTGACATGGAGCCCTCAAATTCAGAAACATGGCAGGAACGTCTGTACATCTAATTTTAATAATTAAAATACTAAACAATGAAAAAAAAACCAAAATCATATGAAAATGTATATGGTAGAGATGTTCAAAGCATGGCAACCAGGTTATAACATTAATATGCCAACATTAAAACAATATGCCACCACAGAGGATGAAACATACACTTTTTCAAGTGTTGTATTTACCCTTTTATAAACATGTTTGTATCACTTCACATTTCATAAGTTTTGAAACAAGATAAGGCAGAGAAAAAGATTCATCTAAGTACCAAAACCACACTCTCTGATCCTCATCAATACTGGGCAAGAATTACCTCCAGCACATCTAGCAAGGTGGTACAAAGAAAAATTTCACCCTTCTTCAAGGCTTTTGGAAGGGTGGATACCACACTACTTTGCTCTAATTCTCTAAAACAAACTGCTCACAGGTATCTCCAGGTCAACAAAAATCTGGAAGAATTTGGGAAAATATTACAAAAGGTGCTGTTCCCAACACGAAACATCTCAATCACCATCTCCAGCAAAGAAATGGATCACAGCAACAAACCCATCTGTAGCCCCATCACTAGCAATATGGGATGAACTACGTTTCATTTCCAATAATGAATCATTTTCTTCACATGGTTGGGACAATGATCTCAAGCATATCCTCTTTCTATATTTTTTTCCCCTAATTTTCTCTATTCTTTCTATTCCTTTTTATTTCCCAAAAAAGAAAAAAAATCCCTATCCTCTGGTTTTCAATTTCATGCCTTAAGCAGCCTAACTAGACTAATGTGAAATAAGCCAAACCAAACACTTTTTTGTATTTGATGTATGCTTCAGTTCTGCCAACACCAGTTTCACAAATGTGGTCCAACTACAATAATTCACTTCTCCCAAGAGTGATAGATGGCAATCACACCTTCCTTCAAACAAAATAAGTCATAGTGATTAATAATGATGTTAGCACTTAGCATGCTGCGAAATGAATCCTTCTTAGAAAAGGAAATTTGCATATCTTAAACTCAAATCCAAAGGACAAACAGCTAATAGGTAGATATATGCTCAATGCACCCGAATAACTCAAGAAATCAAGTCTAATACTTCCTTTAGAATTCACACAAAACATTACAGATACATACAAAACATTCACAAACTAGTCTGAAGAGAATCATGCAACAAATAAAGAAACAAAAGTACCATGTCAGGGTCGAGGACATCGCATGAATATAGTCCAAATCTGTCCTCAGGCACAACAACTCTAGTTTCTGGATCTAGTGACAAAGTTTTACCTGCTCCACAGGTCATCCAGATAATATTAGATCCATATTTCTTAAGAATTACTCAAGGCTCTCTCAGAAAACTGCCATTGAAAAAAGTGTAAGACTTAATGTACATTAGATTACAGCACAGCATGTGAATGCATATTTCATAGAATAGTAAGAATACTTCTATTACAGATCATTGCTTGCAATTATTCAAACACGTATTCTTTGAACTTATGCATACATCCCACCCTATAGAGTCAGCCATAGGTAAGCAATTCATTACAGAAAATAAAAAAATAAAAATACTTAAATGAATGAATAAGTAAACAAATAAACATGTAGTAAACAGGTGAATGGCATAATGCTTATATTGAGATTGGTGGCCTCATTAACCATGATACTTCTACGAATGACCAAGCTTCAGGAGCAGGATGGTTCTTCCTCTAGGAGGAATTTCTCAATAATAGATATTCTGAAAATCGACGGATGCATATTTGAAGAGTTCAATAGGAAGTCCCGCTGAGACAATCATCAATAGACGTTGCAGTGTAACTTAGTGGAAGCAAAAACTAACCCTATCTTCTACTCTATACATTGAAACAATAGTGCCTCATGAAAATTCTGAATAACATTGCTATGCAAGCATCCACGAAAGGTAGTCGCTGTGCTTAACTTGGCAAGCAATGGAATGACATTGTGAATATTTACTGAATGTATAAAACATGAACAGTACAGAAAGCCCACTAGTTACTCACTAGTTCAACTCAGTATGGACTACAGGCACATTAGAAGTTTATATACATGTACATTCTAAGACATATAAAAGTATATTCAAGGAATGAAAACGAGGACTAGTTAGAAGCCACATCATTTTACCACGTTAGAAATGTTTCATACTTCAAGGTCTTAGGGGTTATGAAAATCAAAGTTATGCCTCCAAGAGTTACAACCAATCCAAAAAGCATCTTAAAGATTCTAAAAACACATTTACTATTAAAAAGAATCACCTACAGATACTCATTTATAGAAGAAAACGATCTCACCAGAAGAAGGATCAAATCGGGACCACATCTTTGTCCGAAACTTGCGATCAGCAGCAAGCAGCCGAACCCAGACTCTCTCCTCATGCCCTTTTCCATCCACCGCTGTCAAGATAGAACCCGCAATACCAGGCACCAGCAAAACAGGATCAAGATTTGGATTAACATACTGCTGCTTTTTCTTGATAACGTGCAGCCAAACCTCAATAGACTCAAGTATCTCCTCCAATATCATTGCCATCTTCCACAGCAGCGATAGTTGAGATCAAAAGAAAGAAATGATTCTTGAACTGGGTTTCCACGCCAGGCTTTTTATGGTTTTGACAATTGCAGCACTGTGGACCAGGTTTGAATCCCACTACAGACCTACCAGATTAATAAAAAGGGTGTTATACCTAAGAAAGAAATGGTTGGGGCATGTAATCAAATGCTAGTAGATCTTCACATACACTTAAATTAGTCTAGATCTTCATGAACCCACCTAAGTGTGACTGTCGATAGTGGCAAAATGACAATTTCAAATTTCAAAGGGCTCAAGACACAGGTGGTCATGCATTGACATTCGGATTCCAGTAAATTATACAGAAAAATAATAAAAATTCAATCAATTGCCAAATACTTGTAATCACAAAGAAGCATGTTTAGTTCTGAAAAGTCAATTTTTGCTGGATCACAACCGCTACTATAAAACCCTCAGTCTGGATTCAAATAAAGCAACATCACACAATCTTTTATTTGGAACTCAAACATCAACGCTTGAATAAGATTCCATAACTTTCAATGATTTACAACTATCCAATTACTCAATTCATAATTCTTCCGGCTTACTAAATCAACAGCAAAGGTGCAACCAAAAATTGAAGAATTTTCATCCAAATGAGAGTGTTCTGGGCTGCTGAAAGTGTGACTAATCCAAATAATTGTAAATTAGCATCGTGGATGATGGATGCTAAGGTTGAGCAAAAAAACTCTAAAATTTTGCAGAGCCTTTTGTTCCTTGGTCCACAATTGGAATGAAATTTACAAATAGTAGATCAACATTTTTATTTTTTGCTTCTAGACGAGTTTTTAACATAGTGTCGAAACAGTCAACAGCCTTTAGTCATATTACAATTCAAGTCTTGAAACCAAAATCACAGGCTAAATATTATGTTAATTTTTTGTGTACTACAGTCTAAAGAGTTAGCCGAGGACAAATAGTTGGGAAGAGGCTCTCAGGATGATGTTGAGTGCAGTCTAGCGAGTAATGACTAAAAAGAGTTCGAGATGAAATTTCAGGATTTTTTTTCATAGTTCTGGAATTCAATATTTTTACATAAATTATGACTGAAATGGAATCAAATTCCTTCTGAGATAAAAAAACATGCAATTTCAGCATAGGTTTCCCAAATTCAGATATAAGCATCTAGACTGCAGTCCACAGTTAAATCAGTTCATTGTCTTATATTTAAACCAAACCAACCAAATTCAGACTAATCTCCACAAAATTGAGCTTGAAATCCATATTTTGGAAACCGTGATTCAAATTGGTATGTCGCCCTAGTATAAGCGACAGACAAAAAAAGAAAATGCATACTCAGTAAAATTCAATCAGGAATTGGACTATTCAGAAACTGAAGCCATAACCAAAAATAAATAAAAACATACAAAATAAAAAATATGGATGCAATTGAGTAAGTGTGATATGCTTTGATCAATTTCTCAGTCATTCTAACTCTTTTCTGATTAGGTTTCAACAATCATCTCAGCGACATAAAAACCTGATTTGAAATTCACCAATAAAAATCTTAGGCCAAAATACAAATATCAAAACCTAAGTTCATGAATAAACCAAAAATTTCTGGGAGAGAGATATATAACAAATTCGCAATGCAAATACTGTGAAGAAAATTTAAAATTCTCTAGAACGAAGGGGCAACAATTAAGAAAACTCTACCTTTACTTGATAAGAATCAACGAGGAGCTTGGATAATTGAGCGTAGAGGCAGTGGCGAATAAGAGAGAGAAGAGAGAGAGAGAGAGAGAGAGAGAGAAAGACATAGAGAAAGACAAAGATAACGTTACAGATCTGAGAAGCGTCCAGCTTACATTACGTACGGGTTCTAAATTCCCTCTCTTTTACGGAAATATCACATTTATTACCAAAAAAAAACCTTTTATATTTGGTTTTATGCTCAAGTCCGGCGTCTTGAATCTAACTTTTGTAATTTTCAGTAAACTCCAGTGTCTCAAATTTTTTATTTTAATTTTCTCTGCAAGTGAAAATTCTAAATCTTATTGTGGTTTGCGGTTGCAATCTTTAAAAAATCAAACTAAGGCATACTTCCAAATTTTGTTGTAAGATGTAATTTTCGTGTAAAATATTGTTAGGAGGATGGCATAAAAATAATTCAAATCAAATAGATATATAAATATATGAAAATCTTAAAAATGACCAGAGATAATGTGTTGCAAAATGCAGCATTTTTAAGCTTCCAATTTTTTTTTTTTTTAGATTCATACATCTCAATGTCAAGATGATTAATTAGAGGGTTTTTCAACATCAAAATAACTTTTTTCAATAAATTTTTGAGGTGTATCTAAATTCTAAATTTTAAGGTTTCAACATTATATAAATTTTCCTATTTAAAAAAAGTTTGAAAGCAATAAAATAACTAAATAAACCAAAATACATATAAAATTCGTATGGATATCTTAATTGTTTTATTTTTATTGAATTATTTGTGAGATGTTGAGAAACATAGATGTCCAAATTTTGACCTTAATCTATTGCATAATTCAATATATAAAAAAAAAATATCAAAATTGATTACGTGCTCTAAAAAATGTTATCTAAGTTTAGAATGTAAAATATAGAAATTTATTTTCAATTCTAAGAAAATAATGAGAATTTCTTTCTAAATTTTATTTTTGGTTTCAAAAGAAAATATGTAAAATATATATAGGGAAAGCTTTCTATGGCTCCCTACAACATAGAAGTTCTATCTTCTTTTTACCGTCCAGCCATCCATTTTTTATCAAGAGTGCCACTCATCGTTTGATTTTAGATATGATGTCTCAAAGTATTTTATTTTTACTTCTTTTAATACAATTGTTCTGAATATGAAATTTGGTACGTGTCATCTTCTAATTGGGGCGCACCTATAAAAAATATTAACAATAATTTTTCGTAAAAAATAAGGACCAAAATACCCCTAAAAACTTTCAAAGTTATTTTGGTCATTTTTATTTTATTGAAAATAATTTTTTATATTTTTCGTTAGTGAGAGTTTAATAGAAGAATGGATGTCCAAAATTTGGTGTCAAAATCGTTAAAAAAAAATTAAAAAAAAAAATAGTGTAGAGACATGACATTATGATTGGGACAATCTTAGCTCTCCATTCAAAAATGAATGGTTGGATAAGGGGAAGGATACAACTTTTATGTTGTAATGGCAACATAAAAAGCTTTTCCATATATTTTGCATGTCTTACTTAGGGTCTATCTATTGGCCAGCTATACTCCAAACATTAGCTATTACCCCTGTGTGATATCAACCTTTGAAGATTTAAGAGGCATTACAAGAAGGGTGTGGGTTATATAAGGTTGCAACCTTATTTATAGAAAGAAGGTGTAATGTTCAATATAACAGTTATTTTATCTTCTACTAATAAAATGAGAATTTCTTTTTAAATTTCTTTTTAAGAGATTGTAATGCGCTACACCAATGTTGATTTGCTATTTTTTAAAATATAATATCAATATCTAATACATCTTATCCGATGGCGTTCAGTCTACATGATCTCAATAAAATGGACAATGTAGATTACTACAATTTACTTCTACAAAAAAAATTTGTAAGCATGTATAAATTTTTTTCTTGCAACAAAGTCCCTTGAAGTAATTTGTTGGACACCTCGCGATCCGGTCGTTCCTCCGGACATCTCGTGGTTGAGAAACTTGTTAGCAAAGTGCTTAAAGTTTGAACTCTTAAGCATGGGAAACACTTCATCATGGACACGGCTTTTTGCGGATGTGATAAACCAGCTAGATAACTTACAAATCCACAATTTAGGATGAGAAAAGAAAAGGAAAAAAAAAATTTGCACCCATGGATGGAAATTCCAAATAACTAGATTATGGTCCCTTGGGCACAAGAGTTATTTGATTTTTTTTTTTTATCACAAAATTTGGTATTCACTTGAAATAACTAGATGATAATTAAAGTAAATATGTTTTGAGTGCTTAAACGCTTACATCTTGCTCGAGAAAATGCGATGGCCCCGATTCGATCTTCAGACGTTATTTTTTTCGACCTTATGGAGAGTACCTTAGGAGTTTTTGGCTTTTTGTTTTTGTAGGTTGGTGAAAGATTACATCCTCAAAGTTAGGGTCTTATAAGTACTCCTAGCTTGAGTTTTGCTCGGGAAAACAAATGCACAAATGGATATTTTTTCATAATAAAAATAAATTGAAAAGTATACAATGAGACAATTTATCTTTGGTGCAAGGTGGTTACAATTAATTTTAGTCATTGAATGTGAAATTAAATGGTTGTACTTATTCTATTGATCAAGCTCAAATTTCAAAAGAAATATTTTTGAACTTTGTGACCCACCCAAACTATCGAATTTCACATCAGATAGTTGTCGTAATTGTGAGCTCCTTATATCAAAAGTCTCTTTGTATATGATCTCAAAAGAAATAACTACAAAATGATGTGAATATTGGTGGGACAAGTACCCAATTACTCAACTGATTTAGTGTAAAACAGCATCCTTGATTGAATCCAATCATTTTATCTCCGTCAAATGAATAAATGGACGGGCGACGATGCGAGAAAGAATACATCATATGAGTCATAAAATTTGTTATTTATTACTCTCTTGCATCAAGCCAAAAAAGAAAATCAATAAATTGAGAATTACGAAATTTTGCAGGCGTGATATCTGTCCAATCTATTGTATCCAAAGGAGCAACTGCTAAGAAAGGGAGACAGTGACTTGCACACAACAACCTTGTTGAGTGAGGAATGCAGTTTTAAAGAGATTCATTAAAAAGTTATTTATTGCAAAAATTATAAGTGAGAGTTAAATTGCTGCTTTTCCTTCATTTATGAACATTGGACCCGGTTTTTACGAGTCCCCCGGCTCATACATTTCTCGTGCGGGCTCCCTCTAACACCCATTTTTTATATAGACCTTGCATCCAAATTTGTTGAGATTATGATCTACACTATGATGATCATGAATATAAAAAATAAAATAAAATAGTAAAATATTTTTTTAAAATTTTTTCCGGATAGTTATCTTTAGTTATGAAGGTTTAATCTTAAAGATGGATGTTTGTGAATCAGTGGGCTACTGAGTACATGAACTCACAAAACACTTTTCCATGAACATTTACACAAGTGAAAATGGAATAACAAAAAAAAAGAATTTGATACCTGTTTAACCACCGGGGATGGAGAGAGACACCCAGCTTGGCTAAGGCATCAACGATTTGTTTTGCATTCTCTGTAGCAATGGAGAATATGAACTTGGTGACAAATTCTATGGAATTTGTCATTCTCCCATAGTCCTCCGCATGACATTTATAGAGTCTTTTGTTTTTTTTTTTGAGGAAATTAAGAAATTTTATTGCTTAAATGAAGAGATTCCATAGAAAAAGGAAATACTTCAGAACACCGTCAGTCACTATAAAAGCCGGCTTCAAAATACCCTCCTTAGCAAGAGAATCAGCAACCTCATTAGCTTTCTTTGTACATATGTTTAAAAGTGATTTCCATAGTATGAGCAACGTCCGGAATACACAGCCAAAGAGATCTTAATCTTTAAGGGATACATTGTTATATTGCACCATTTAATAACATTTAAAGAGTCCTTGTCTACAATACACATCAAAAGAGCTCTTAATCTCCAAGGCACACATTATTTTTTATTACACCATTTAATAACATTGCAATAATAAGACAACCAGCAGACCATTCTTAAAGAAACTGGATCTCCTGCAATAAAGAACACAGTTCCACCTGGTTAGCAAAAGTATTGCCACAAGGCTCGGAGTAGGAAAGCACCACCGCACGTTCTGAATTGCGCACAGCACCTCCTACCCCAGCCAGTTCTCTGGGTTCCCAAAAGAACTTCCATCAACGTTTAGTTTGAGATCCATCAGTAAACCTTTTAGAAACTACACTTTATAGAATATGTTTCAATTATGAGCTTTGTCCTGCTGCTTTCTAGAGAAAATTATGTATATATCATTTGTTTAACATTATTTAAATCGTACCATTAATTTTTTTGTTATTACACATGTACCTGTATTCTACCTGTTATTACAATAATACCTCCCATTTTTTCTAAATCACCGTAGTGCCCACATTTGGGTGTTCAACAACATCCAAAAAAATTGCATTTTAGCTTCCTCAATATTTTCAAATTTTGAAAATCTAAAGTTTATCTGAAAATTAAATTTTGGATTTTGAAAATCATAAAATTGCATTTTAGCTTCCCAACAATTTTAATTTTGACAATAAAAAATCTTTTGAAAATTGAATTTTCGGATTTTCAAAATCCAAAAGTTAAATTTTAGCATCCCTGAACCATTTGGATTTCAAAAATTTGAAATTTACCTAAAATTAAAATTTCCAATTTTCAGAATCCAAAAATTTTATTTTTCATCTAGGGTCTAGTATCTTTGTTAAATTCAAATATTGAAAATCCAAAAAAATTTGTGGGGGTGAAAAAAGGTCCGATTATCGTATCTCCCACCAAGAGTCTTGCAATTTTATTTGATTTTGGATCTTCAATATCCGAAATATGGGCAATTCCATAACCACAAAATAAAGTAGGCATAGATGTAATAAAGGCAAATTATGAATAAGTTTTAAATAGCAATAAATAAAATAGATATTAATGTAATTTTCTCTACTTTATATGAGC